CAATCAAACTAGAATGTAAAGGCAAATAATTAGATTATTATAATAACAAAGAACTAGACCAAATATACAAATGGCTAATATGTACAATAAAATTATAGAAACTTTATATATATATATATATATATATATATATATATATATATATAATAATAATCATTAAAAGGGGAAAAAGAAAAAATAGAATTGTAGTAGCCTTCATCCCTCACCAACCCCCAACAGTTATCCCCACGATATATAATCATATATAAAGCTAAAGAAAAAACACACATCACATCTACTTCATCCCTTTCTCTTTCTTTCTCTTTTCTAATTTATTTTTTAAATATAAATACTCCACTTGTATATATCTATATACCTCTGTCACTTGACTTTTTCAAGCTGGCTGCTGAGTCCACACTTACCATTTTTGTGCTCTACAAGTTGGTTGCTAATGGAGTTGGTGAGTCCTCCATTTTCCTTTAACAATTAACAACTTCCTTATTTTTGAATTTCCTTTAAAATTGGTCTTTCAAAAAAAATGGGAAAAAAAGAAAAGGGGAATAAAGAATTTGAAATTGGATTACCTTCCTTCAGTCACCTAACTTAGTTAGACTTGTACCAACCCACATTGCCTTTATACTTTTGGCGAGGAAAAAAAAAAGAACATTTTTTAATGTTTAAATTCTTTTTTTGAGATTCTTGAATTGTTGGGGTTGAGTTATTTTTTCAGGTAGTGGAATCAGGGGTGAAGAAGATGGAGGAGGGAGAGGCAACGAGGAGGAACCAAACTCTAATTTGTGCACCAATTATGGCAGACACAGTGGATCAAATGTTGAATCTAATGCAAAAGGCTAAAACTAGTGGTGCTGATCTTGTGGAAGTTCGGTTGGATAGCTTGAAAAGCTTTAATCCTCAATCAAATATTAATACTATTATCAAACAGTCCCCTTTGCCTACCCTTTTCACTTACAGGTTTTAATTCCAAATTTAAGCTCCAAAGATTGTCTCTTTATTATCTTTTTACACTAGTGAATGTGTCATATCTGAATTGGGTTGCTAAAGTTTGTTCCTTTGTGTGTGTGTGTATGTGTGTTTTAATTCTTTTGTATTTGTGATAGCTGGAAGCTGAATAGTGATGATTAAGATTCTATCTTCTTTTCTTGTTTTGCTAGGAAATCCAAAAATAATAAGGAGAATAAGCTTGACCTGTATTAATTTTAAGGATTCGGGATTTCTTACTACAAGCTGAAACAGATAAATTGAAAATGAGTGGGGGAGAGATATGTAGCATACAGTAGCAAATTTTTGATTTGCTAAGGGAGGGATAGGCTAGTGGAAAAGGCTCTCCGCCTCCAAGGCTCCAGCCATGAGGTGGAGAGTTTGAGTCACCAAGGCGACACGCAGGAAAAACCGTCCCCTCCCCATTCTGAGGAGAGATTTTTTTTTGTTTTTTTT